ATCTTCGGTTACCTGGAACGGCCCGTCTTCCATGAGTTGACTCGAAGCATGCAAACGAGGAAGCTCATTGCTGGTGAGACCATCAACCTCGAAGAAGAAAAAGGCTTCTGTATCGTCGTCGATGGTCTGGTAGAGATCTTTGTTAAGTCAAACCGGAGCCCCCGCGCCGCAGCAGCCTCTAGGGGACATCTTGACTTGGACTCTTCAGATGAGGACGATATCGCCCCTGGTCAACAGACATACCAGCTTCTTACAGAAGTTCGGAATGGTGCACCTATGTCATCTTTGTTCTCCATCATGTCTTTGTTTACCGAGGATGTTAGGCTACGGCCTAATGATGATCAGGAGGACTCTTCTTTGCATCCTGCCCAAAGCAGCGGGCTTAGACACCCGACCTTCGAGAAGCCTCATCTTCGACGTGTTCCTTCAGACGTCAACATGTCCATACCGGGCACACCTCAGTCCCGGAATGATATGGAGGCGGATGAGAAGAAACCCGAAGGTCTTGGTGTTTCTGGCTTGGAAACCGATCAGGGTGCGATTCCTGCCATGTCACTAGATGGCGATACACCTCCACCTACTCGGCCGCCCTTGCCAACAAGGGCAACATCTGGCTCGGCTCACCCAGACATTATTGCTCGTGCTACGGTTGATACAACAATTGCCATTATCCCAGCGAGTGCATTTAGAAGACTCATCAAAATCTACCCAAAAGCAACCGCACACATTGTCCATGTTATTCTCTCAAGATTTCAAAGAGTCACGCTTGCGCAGGCATTCAACTATCTTGGCTTGACTAGCGAAGTACTGCAGACAGAGAAGAGCATGATCAAGTATACAGTATGCCAGCTCCCCAATATTCTGCGAGGTGATGCTCTAGAACGTCTCAAGGAGAAGTTCAAGCGCGAGAGGGAACGTGCAGACGAGGATGATGACACGAAGGGTATTGCACTGCACAACTCGGCCTCAACTCATCGGCGAAGGTCAAGTACAACTCTTCGGAAAGAGGCTATGCTGCAATCAATGACCAAACTGCGGACGACTTCGGTTGTCACAAGCACCATTGCACCACCTCGCGAAAGAACTTCTCCCCACACTCCGAGCCCTGGAGACCTGCTGTCTAATATTCAGTTAGCTCGAGGGACTTCGCGTATCTCACCGGCGGATCAACGATCCGTTTCGGGGGTCTCGATGAGACACCAGGGCGCGAATCCAAAGGATGATAGGTTTTTCAATGATCCCTTTGATTCGAGGAGGCTTGGTCGCATGACGATGGATCCGCGAGAAACTGTGGATGAAGACAATCTCTTCCGTGCTTCTATTTTGGAGTGCATGTTTAAGTCACTTGGGCTTGATGCCAATGGAAGTGCATCCCGCGAGCCTGAGTCCATGGAAGGCTCTCCCAGACTGGTGTCGTTCGACCATCGGCGATCAAAGTTTTACAGCCAAAACAACGCATTCGGTTTCATGCCTCCTTACGATGGCTCTGTTGACGGCGAGACTGAGTCGGTGACTTCCGGAGGAACCGCTTTACATGCTCCGGTGAGCGCTCAGGGTCTTGCGAGCGACATGAAGGATGAGGTTGAGATCGTCTTCTTCCCCAAAGGCTCTGTTCTCGTAGAGCAAGGAGAACGAAACCCTGGCTTGTACTATGTCGTCGATGGGTTTTTAGACATTGGTACGACTGGTGATGCAGATGCTCACAACATCTTACAATCTAACGGATTTGGTTCATCTCAACCAGCTCCTTCATCCCCAGATGCTTCTGAAATGGGTTCTTTCCCCAATCTGGCTCGGACCGAAGCTGCAAGAGATCAGGCCGAGACGCAACAAGCGACATCGAAGAAGTCCCGTCGCAGCATTGCCTTGGTCAAACCGGGTGGGCTGGCTGGTTACATCGGAAGTGTGTCTTCATACCGGTCTTTCATCGATGTTGTTGCAAAGACGGATGTCTATGTAGGCTTCCTGCCTCGTGCTTCGCTGGAGCGGATTGTTGACCGCTATCCGATTGTTCTTCTCACAATGGCCAAGAGGCTGACCAACATCTTGCCCCGCCTGATTCTACATATTGACTTTGCTCTGGAATGGGTTCAAGTCAATGCAGGGCAGGTGCTATTTCACGAAGGTGATGAAAGTGAGGCGATTTATATCGTTCTCAACGGTCGCCTTCGTCTGGTCCAGGAGCGAAAGGGCGGCAGTGGCGGCGTAACGGCTCTGGCCGAATACGGACAAGGTGACAGTGTCGGTGAGCTAGAGGTGCTTACAGAAACTGCTCGCCCAGGGACTCTGCATGCTATTCGAGATACGGAGTTGGTGAAATTCCCCCGAACACTCTTCAACAGCTTGGCACAAGAGCATCCGAATATCACCATCAAAATTTCGAAGATTATTGCATCACGGATGAGGGCAATCGTTGACGAGACTTCCAAGTTCTCGTACAAAGATGCTAGCACCAATCCAAAAACTCTGATGCGCAAGTCCAATATGAATCTACGAACTGTTGCAATTTTGCCTGTTACCGCGGGTGTACCTGTTGTTGAGTTTGGAAACCGACTCATGAATGCCCTGGCGCAAGTTGGCCCAGCTAATGGGGCCACGTCCCTCAACCAGGCCGCCATTCTTAACCACCTCGGCAAGCATGCTTTCAACAAGATGGGAAAGCTCAGGCTTTCTCAATATCTTGCTGATCTGGAAGAGAAGTATGGCCTGGTTGTCTATGTTGCAGGTAAGCAATACCGTGTTTGCTTTCTTCAGCCATTCCTTTTATGATGATAATATCACACATAGACTCCAGAGGCAAAGCCGATGTTGGTTCTATTAACTCTAATTTTTTCCTGACTTATTCCCGTTACAACTTTCTTTCTGGACTTTCGGACGAGAGCCTCGAGCTAACATGTTGGCCCTAGATACGAACGTCAACTCGCCGTGGACACAGACTTGTATCACGCAAGCTGACAGCATCCTTTTGGTGGGTCTTGCAGAAGGATCACCAGCTATTGGTGAATACGAACGCTTTATGCTTGGCATGAAATCTACCGCTAGAAAAGTTTTGGTTTTACTTCATGCTGAGCGTTATTCACGGCCTGGGCTGACTCGGGCTTGGCTGCAAAACCGTATGTGGATCAACGGTGGCCACTGTCATGTGCAAATGGCTTTCAGAACAAACGAGATGCCAGTCCATGCCCCCAAGAAACTTGGTCAAGCACTTAAAGAACGTGTTCAGGTCTTACAGGCTGAAATTCAAAAATACACGTCTCGCAAGGTGCATCACACGCCGTACTACTCACCCGATTCTCCTTACAAGGGCGATTTTCATCGCCTGGCACGACGACTATGTGGTAAATCCATTGGACTTGTTCTTGGCGGAGGCGGTGCTCGAGGCATCACTCAAATTGGTATCATCCGAGCTATGGAAGAAGCCGGAATTCCTATTGATCTCGTTGGAGGAACTTCGATCGGTGCTTTTGTTGGCGCTCTGTACGCCAGACATGCTGATGTCGTGCCGATGTTTGGATTTGCCAAGAAATTTGCAGGGCGAATGGCCAGTTTATGGCGGTTTGCTCTTGATCTGACGTATCCCTCCGCATCTTACACCACAGGACACGAATTCAACCGTGGTATCTTCAAGGCTTTAGGCGACACGCAGATGGAAGATTTCTGGCTCGAATATTACTGCAACACAACCAATATCAGTAAGAGTCGAGCCGAGTTCCACACCAGTGGGTACGCATGGAGATATATCAGAGCGTCCATGTCCCTTGCGGGGCTACTCCCACCTCTGTGCGATGAGGGCAGTATGCTACTGGATGGCGGTTACATTGACAATTTGACCGTGTCTCACATGAAGGGTCTCGGAGTTGACATAATTTTTGCCATTGATGTAGGTGCTTTGGACGATGACACGCCGCAGACGTATGGTGATTCACTTTCTGGTGCATGGGCTTTTGTGAACCGATGGAATCCATTCTCGTCTCACCCGAACCCGCCAACTCTTGCGGAGATTCAAGGACGACTGGCATACGTGTCGAGTGTTGATGCTTTGGAACGTGCAAAAACGATGGCTGGATGCATTTACATGCGTCCACCAATCGATGACTATGGGACTCTTGACTTCCACAAATTCGATGAATTGTACCAACTGGGATACAAGTATGGGCAGGAGTTTTTTAACAAGATGAAAGAGCAAGGAGTCTTGCCTTTAGTAGAAGAGACGGAGGCCAAGAAGGCGTTGAGACGTACAATGGCACCAAGACGAGCGAGCATCTAATGGATCATGTTCACTTAGACTTGATGAGCGTTTACAGTATTCAGCATTCTGCTAGAGTAGAGGCGTCTATTCTTAGACTACGGAGCTCGATCTAGACAATTATTTATGCTACTATTGAATCATCTGATGGGGCCTTGGTACTGCAATATTACGTGAAGATGCATTCTCCCGATGAGAAATTGCTTTGTGGGTGCTGAAAGTGAGGAGAAATGACGATATTGGTGACATCATTTCGGGCCAGGTCCTTCAATTGGGCCCTGGCACGTCAAAATGCCAACCCCAGGGGCACGTCACCCCCGACTATGATCCTTGTCAAAGTTAAGCTTGACTTGAGAATTAAGCAATGACATTCGATCCTTAATGCTTAAGTGGCCCCGGAGATGCAGGCCGGCAGTAGTGGCGGAGGAGGTCTCTAACGGTTGGGTAAGGGTCTCTAGATTCCATGGGGGCTTGAAGTTTATAACCGTGCAATCTGCGCTTTTTCGTATATCTTGAGTTTACGTGGATGGCATCCTGATACTTTACAAACGCAATACGACGGACCACTTCAACTCCCTTGATAGTCACTAGGGAGAGACACATACGACATATGTCTGGAACTTACTCTGAGAGCATCTTGCCGACCATTTGAGTAGGGCTCAAGTTCTACCCCATCCTTGGTTTTATCATCAAGCAAGCCACCACAATATCACACAACAATCAACTTGCTACACCACATATAATCACCACAACTATGGGAAGAAGAGACACATATTCAGAGCCTCCCCGGAGCCATCGACAATCCCGTCGCCAGCCTCCACCCCGCCGCGGCCCTCCTGTCAAACAGAGCGAATCCGGCTTCGACTGGACACCGGGCATTGTCCTCGCCCTCCTTGGCGCCTTTACATGGCTCAGCCACGATTTTGATAGCTACAAGAAGAAGCACGAGCACTGTGATGATCGAAGGGGAAGTCGAAGTCGCGATAGTGAGAGGGGAAGGCGAAGGTACCGATCGAGTAGTCGGTTTCCAGATGACGACTATGATGATTATGACTATCGGAATGGTCGGGGCTATAGTCGGTAAAGGAGGGTGAATAGTTATGATAATGAGCACACGATTATGAAATGGGGGGTTTGAGGAGACGAGCATAGGAGGCATAAAGGTTGCATTTGGATGTCATTGTAACATTCTTAAAACGGTTACTTCAAGGTCAAGAGCCATAACAATAGTCGTTTCTCTTTTCTTCAAGTGGCACTTTGGTTTTCTGGCTGAATTGTGAGAAGCACCAGAGGTCTAGTTCCGAAGGCCCTTGATAACATCGAGGGCTTCAACAGACTTATCTTGATTACTATCAGAGTATTCTTAAAATCGGAGGAATTTCTTGACTATCTCTACATATCCAGCACCAACACATAAACTCATAGTATTCCTCGTTCTTAATTGTATGGAACATTCAGTTATAAGTTACATTCTAACCACTTATGCCCTTTAGCAATCTCATTTTCAGCTGCCTGCACTAAGACATCAAACATTCGCTGGACGTGTTGTTCCTCCACCTTTGTTACACTCGTACATACACGAATGGCAAACTTGTCATTCACAACGGTGGCGGTGAGGTAGAACTCTCCCGCAGCGTTAATGGCCTCGTATACTGCCTCAGTGCGGTCATTAATCTGCTGCTCTGACTCGCCATTGATGCGGATTGTAATAAGACCGAACCGAGCTGGCGTGAAAATAGAGAAGATGTCCCGACGGGAGTCTATCTTGTCTTCGAGACTCTCTGCCAAGTCGACGCCATTGCGGATATGCTTCTGAAGGCCACTGATACCATAACTTCGCATGACGAACCACAGTTTCAAGGAGCGAAACCGCCGCCCTAGAGGAATCTGCCAGTCGCGATAGTCGGTGACTAACTCGTCGTCGCTGTATTGATTTCGCAGATAAGGAGGCTTGATACTCAGAGCCTGTATAAGCCAAGAACGATGACGAACCCAGACGGCTGTACAGTCGAATGTGGTGAGAAACCACTTATGAGGGCTGAAGCTAATTGAGTGGAATGACGAAAAGGCCTTGGCCAAGTGTTGATATTCTTCCAGAACAAGCGCTGCACCAGCATACGCAGCATCGATGTGAACCCAGATGTCCCGTGGCGTATCAAAGGTTGGCTTGAGGGCCTGAGCAATACCCTCGAAATCATCCACAGCGCAGACATCGGTGGTGCCAAGGGTGGCAGTGAGGAAGAATGGTTCAAGACCACGGGCTCGAAGACTCTCAATAGTGGCAGCGAGGGCCTCGCCTCGGAGAGAGAAGCCATCAGCCTCGGACACTGGGATGGTAGCAAAGCGAACACCAAGAACTTGAGCAACCTTCTTAGTGCTCGAGTGTGTGCCAGAGCTTGCAAGGGCCACCAGTCTGCTTCGAAGATTCCAAAGTGCTTCTTCCTTCTCTTCACTGCCGGGAGGGAGATGGGCTGTCACAGAAGCGAGATACTTATCTCTCGCAGCAGCCATGTTGACAATAAGACTCTCACTGATGCTCCCATGAATTACGCCGCCACCATGTGTCGACCCTCCACTGAGAAAACACTCAGGCAAGCCCAACGCCTGGGCCAGCCAGTCCATAACTATAGTCTCGAGCTCTGTAACAGCAGGACTACAGATCCAGTTGAAGTGTGCCCCGTTGAAGGCATTGGAATATATCTCTGCCAGAGCGGCTGGATAGCTGCTCGCACAGGGGAAGAATGCCATAAAGCGAGGACTACTCCAGTGAGTAATGCCCGGGAGGATCTTGGACTCGATGTCTTGGTGGATGGCGGACCATGGTTCGGGGTCTGTTGGCGGAGAGGATGGTAGCAGAGGGCGTAAGTAGCCTGGTTTGACATTCGAGACGACGCGGTAATCGGCGACATTTTCGGTGTAGTCGGTCACTGGGAGCTTTAGTATGAGTTCGAACTTTCAAGGAGGCTTTGTGAATAGGAAGGCTTTGTACGGGCAAAGTGAAAAAGGGGAAGCTCAATCGGGGTTCATTGTGGCTCGGGGGGAGCCATAATGGCTATTATGATTACGATATAAGGACTTACTCTCATCGATTGCCGCTTTGGCAGCCTCACGGAATTCCCGAGCTTCCATGATGAGATTTGTATCGAAGAGAAAGAATATAGGAGAAGATGGGCAGTGAACAAGTTGAACAAGTTGAAGCGAATGAGACTTGATACTTGACTCCTTCTTCAACAGCAAACGACCATCGTACTTATATCTGTTCGTCTTACTTGACTTAAAGAGGGCTATGTACCCTCTCTACAGTCTCAATTATCGGACCTCCTCATGAAAAGTGAAGCCCCTGTGCCGAGGTCTCGTCGCTCTCCTTACTAGCCTTGGTATTGTCCATATTTCTGGGACATCATGATATCCCAGGTTTTGTATTGTTCCACTCATGCAGTTCTCTGGACTAGAGCCTATTCGTTGATTAGCTGATGCTGATCTTCGAATTCCGTTCTACAAGGCTGAGGTTCTTGTCCTTTAGAGAGCAAACATGGCTCGGAACTAGATCTTGGTCTTAGTATTGTTCATTTAGTTGACGCCCTGGATTCGACGAGATAGGAGGGGCCAATGCACGCTATAGATACTTTGACGGTTGACGGCGGGATCTATATTAATTTCTTTCCTGATATTATTGTTCAGTTCGATGTTGCTGATATGATTTCTGTTGGAACCATTACTCAATTAGAAAGCAATTCAAGGCAATATGCCTAAACTCTGCAACGTCTATTTGCATAGTGAGTATTGACAGAGTCAGCAAGAAACTCTTGTTCCTCTTCATCGAAGTCTAACTTAGTTCCCAATGCAACGGTCTTGGCTTGGCAACGCCACCAAACTGCTGAACAATATCAAGCCTCCAAGCAGTGACCATGCTTACAGTAGACTCGACTTCAAGGTCGCACTCAACCTGCTACACATCAAAATTAGAACGGCAAAGTCCACAAGGCCTGGCTGCAAACCGCATAAGCCCTAAATCACGTTTCTTGGGTGTCTTTGTCCCCTTAAACTTGTCACGTATTGTCCTTTCGACACCGCTTTCGAGGCTGAAGCTTATATGATCGGCAGTACTACGCTGGCTCCTGGAACAATATCCTCGCTCTTCGCGCTGAAACCTGTAGCACCGTTGTTTGCTCTTTAGTGGCGGTACGTGAAATCTAAGCCACTGTGTAGACAGGGCGATTTCGCGAGAGACGAGGTGCTATTGGGTGATTAGGTGCTTGTAGGCATTTCGAGATCCAAGCCATTTATTACACGTCTTTGTTGTAATTCGAGTGAATGGGGCAATGTCCGTTGGTGAAGGAGGACAACCACAGTCCTTAGTAGATGTGTGGATCTGAGACAATGGTTCCCCATACTAAGGACGTAGCATCAAGGAGACATAACAGTGCAATTCCACTGAGGCCATTCCCAAATTGCATTTTCCCCCAACCAACAAAGATATTCCACGGATTAAGTGATCTTTGGTGGTGCAGGGATTGCCAAGGATGAACCAGGTTAAGCACCATGTCATACGTGCAAGCACTTCTCACTATATCATTTATCAATCGACAACGGGCATTGAACAATCTTCATTGGCTCGGGAACCAGGACAGATGGCCATCTCTATCCCAGATTTTCCAGCAAATCCCTATCAAGCTGCACGATCTTCAAGCAGCCCCCAGAATCCACCAATGAAGAGGCTCCGCTCCATCCCGTATACAAGATCCCGCCTTGTGCCACGGCCCTGGCCAATCAAGTTCGAGCCCATGTCTGTATACTGCAAAGTGGAAGATCATGAGATTGCTACGGCAATAACATGGGAAAGCAAAACATTCTCGGATGTAACGCGATTAATGATTCCACAGCTGCTGGTGGTACGTGTGTAGCACCGTAGCCACTGTAGCCACTGCGGTTTCGGCCAAATTCATTCACGTGGTTCATCGTCCGACGGCATTTCCGAAACCTTCCTTTTTGAGGCCCCTCTGGATGAGTCGACTGTGGTCTTGTCTGACATTATTAATACGTAAGAAAATGCCGTTTTTATACACCTAGAGAAATACGCGCAGAACAGCAGATCACATCAGGAAAACAAGAAATGTTGGAAGATTATCATATTCTTCTATAACAAAAAGGATCATGTGGTGGTTCCACGTCTCTAACATAGTAAAACTCGCTTCGGAATGCGGTGTCCGATTCCCATTTTATGTAACCCCAATGATGCATCCCCTGTATAATGCTTGTATGTATATGCAACGTCCCCTTAACTCCAAAAAAAAAAAATGCCAAGAACCATTCTTGACAGAAAATCGAATCGTTTTTGAAAAAGATCATCTCGAAAACTCCTCGCTGAGTAATGCAATAAACAAAGGTCATAAAAGTTTCCCCTTCTCCCCCTTCTTTTCTGGAAACGTGGTATCATAAGAACTTTTTGGAACAGATCCTCCTCCATTAATATCCATTAAGTTGTTTTGCTTGTAAAAGTTGCTGCCACCTAGGCAACTGCCACTTGGGCTCGCATTCGCATGTCTTCGTAGCCAGGAAGCACGCTGTTGCCCTGGAATCGAGCATCGGGAACCTGCATGAGTCGGGGCTGCAGGTGAAGGTCGACATCGGCTTCTTCAGCCTCGGCGATGGCAGCGTCAAAAGAAGGAAGCTCGTCATCGTCGATGTGGTCGTAGGTGTTCTCAACAGCCACCTGGATGGGGATGCTGAGGTTGATGTTGGTGTTCATGGAACCAACAGATAGGGTAAGGTGGAGGATATAAGCGCGGGCGCTGAGGCACGAGTAGAACGTAGGGAGGAAGAGCTTGCTGTTGGAAGTGGGCAGGTTGAAAGGAACATCGAGAGTGGCGTAGCGGCGGACGTTGTACTTGCTGGCCTTTCTGTTGCGCTGGGTATCATCAGACTCAGATGTCTCTCCCTCGTTCCAGAAAGCACTGTCATAGCCAGAGTCCCGTCGAGAAGCAGGAGCCTCATCTTCCCACGTGAGCTGGGTATCAGGTCGCATGGGGACAGGTGTAGTGGTGGAGTAAGTGAGCGATGGGGTGCCCTGGTGCTTGACGCGAGAACCCAGGTTAGGGAGCTGTGTCATGGGAGCGCTGCTGAAGAAAGTGGTTGCGTGGAGCTTAGCGCTAACAGAGTTGACCTTGGGAGGAGTAACATCCTTGGAGGTAGAGCTGAACTCGAAGTTGACCTTCAAGTTGGTACCGCTGGCGTTGAGGAAGTTTCCAGAGAGCATAATGGCACTGGGCTGAGAAGCCGTAGTGGTGAGCTCACCCTGCTTGGCAGAGAAGAGGTTCTTGCGGATGGGCTTTGTCTTGGAGAGACAATAGCGCTCGTCCTTGGAGCAGATATCAAGAGGGGCGTCCTCGGGCATGGCAGGGAGAACCTTGACCATGTGAAAGCTATCAAGGGGCAAAGTTCGGCCCTCCTCCTCACTGTTCTTGGTAGCCACGGCGCGGATGCCATATTCGATGTGAGCCATGTCAGGAGACTGGTCGTTGCGCTCCCAGAAACCCATGGTTGGGGGGAGCTGGAGGTGGTGGTCCCTGATACCCTCATGCTCCACGGGGTGGTTGCATGCGCTGAGGGTAAGCTGGTGGGGAACAACAAAGTGGAAGGGGATTGTATATGTGCGGCCAGCCTCGAAGACACGATTGCTGGGGAAGTCTGCTGGGCTGAGAGGCATGCGGAGCTTCATGAAAGGACGAGAAGCGTAGTTGGCGCTGGAATATTGGCTGACAAAGTCAACACGGGTGTAGGCAGTGCCAGTGAAGAAGATCTCGAAGCCATCATAAGCAACATCGCGCTGGGTGTTGATGATGACGCTTCCTGTAACCTTGGAGCCAGAAGTATACGACTTGGAGCTCCAGTGCTGGTCGAGCTTGATGTCGATGCCGGATTTGGCAGGACGGGGTCTAGTAGACCGAGGTCCGTTGTCCGATACAGAGCTGGACATTGTGACGATTGCAAAAGAGCAGAATGATACTAATGCTGATACTGATAAGGGATTTGACGATGTGATGGGAGGGCAAGGCCAGAGTCATATATATAGTATTCTATATAAAAACAGAAATGCGGCGGTACCGTACCCGTTACTTTGGTTCGTGCTCGAGCTTGCCCTGTCTAGGATGCTGAGGTGCTTCCAGGGGGGAGGGGGGTTGATTGCTAGGGGCGTGCGCGCTGTAAGTTGGTGGGGCCCAGGGAGCGCGTGCTCTTGTTGCTGGGTCTCGCGAGTCTGCAATAGTTGCTAGGTCGTGGTCGAGACTTGAGAGGGTAATTTGTTGATGGATGGGAAGGACAGCTCGTTTACTGCGTTGTGACTAGGTATTATACATTTCCTGGGGGTGCAAAATGGTGACGACGACGGGCTTTAATATCACTCTGTCGACGCAAGGCGTAGGCTTTCTGATGTGATCCAAAATGCCTGGCTGACATATCGACAACCACCAAAGTTTGAAAGCCGGACGGAATGTGAGTTGGATGGCAGCCAAAAGCACATCATCAGCCACTATTTTAGCCATAAAGGTGATCTGGAAAGGTTGGAGAAAAGTCTTTTTTGCTTCTAAAATAAATCAACTTTAGAGGGGTGATGAGTTGGAGAAGCCATCAACAAGGGCTTCAGATTTGGAGTAAGTCAAGATGGGAGGGAGCACGGGTTGTTGATCATAGACAAGACAACACCGTTTACATATTTGCATCTTTCAGTATTGAACACATCTGCACACGATATTGCTTGACTGCAGTCTTTGCTACGAGGTTTCCCTTTCCAGATCCGACCTCCTCGGAAGTCTTACCACTGTTACTCCGTACTCTTCACGAAACACACCCAGAGCGTGGTTGAAGAGCTGGATCAAACAGCAGACCCTCTCTTCTTACCTCAAAGATATCCACGATGAGCTCCATCGCGGTACCGGTACCTTAACTGAGTCTCTCACTTACACGGGCGACTCGCTCTGAAGAAAAAAAAAATATGAAGTGGGGGTTATGAGAAAAAGGCTTCCGAGCTTTGTGAGCCATCCGACCGGGGTTCGACAAATCGTGCATGACTAGCGCCGATGGTGGAGAAGTGGTTACAGGCTCTTCAGTGCCGAAGGGGTCCTTGTTTGCCTTGTCGTGTTCATTCCCGACGTCTCCAACAGATCCCGTTCCTGACTGTGCGTGCGTTTGCAGCTGGGCCCGGTGCGACTGTGACCATCTCCAACAGCCCAGCTCAGAGGAGAGGCTAATAATAAAACATCCGATAGTCGGCTTCAGGCCTTGAAGCTGCTTGGCTTGATTAACTTTGGGTTAAGGTAGGACGCTACAGTTTCTTGGCGCGGATGAGAATCCGTTGATCACCAAATTACCAAATCAAATGTTCAATTCAATTAAACTGTCTCTTGTAGTTCAGCGTCTCAGTAGGGGATCCTTCGAAGTAAACATTGGAAGTGTCGTTCGGGATGCTCCGAACAAAGAGTCATCATGGTGGCCACACAGGGAGAGAGTTAATCGGAGGTTCACGGCCGGCGTCATCGGGTTACGAGAGTTAAGCATTGCATAATAATAGCAACACATAGCACAATGCATACATAAGGAGGTAGGTAGCTATGATTGACAGGCTGCAAGGCACCACCTCCAGCCCAGCCAGCCATGTTTCCATTTGTTCCATGCTTTCCATGCACTCATTGCATGGTTCTAGCAATTTCTGGTGTGAGCCGGCCCGTCTTCCAAGAGCCTCACCTTGACCCTCGCCCAGCTCCTCACACCATCACAGCTCAAGCCATTTCCAGGCCGGAGCTACTATTCCTTTCACCCTACAAAAATGGGAACAAGATACAGATATCGAGATCTGGGACGTCACTTGCGCGGCCCAAATTCCTGATGCCTTGGATTAGGCTCTTGATGATGACGCTGAACTCGCACAAACTGGCGAAGAAACTGGAGTTGCAATGACTTCATGATTCCCCACGTTTTCGCCTTTGCAATGTTGATGCACCGAAAATCTCGCTGAGAGTGAAATATGAACCTCTACGGGCTGGTGTTAACCGAAAAAACAAAGGTGTATCTGGATGGAAATATACGAGAAACCCTGATACATCTCATCCTCTCTCTCCATCTTCATCGCACCTCTCCGGACAACCGGCGGATGGCCTTTTTTTCCCTCTCCCTCATGCCGTAAACCGGCGGTCAGAAAATGAGAGCTTGCTTCAGCTGCCGCCTTTCCGTGCCTAATACAGGGCAGGCTACACCACGGAAACGTAGGCGAACATCGTGAGATGTTCTAGAGTCTAACAAAGCCCAAGAGGGGGGGAAGAGTCGCATACTACAATTCCCATTACATGAGGAATTCCTGTTTCGACCTGGCGCATCAGAATCAATAAGGCCTGGCGATGGCAAATGTTGGGGTCAAAGTCTTAACCTAACCGTTTCGACGTCTGTGCCCGGTTCTCGAACCTGGAGTTTTGGTCTAGCTCGCCCGCGATTCCTAAGTTTGACTCCATTCACTACTGAGTCTGACTCTGTCTTGGTCGACACGCAGATGTCGTTAGCCCTTTTCTCCTCAATGATATCCCTGTCAGGGCGAGACGGGCTGTATAAGCTTTGGAGAGGGGGGGCGCTTCGCCTGGGGATAGCTACCTTTTAGTGAAGCCCCCCACGAGTCAACGTTGGCGAAAGGACCCCGAGTTCACGATTCGAAGGGTTGCGTGGCAGCGTCTCGTTTTGCATCGTGGGCTTCATTTTCATTTTCATTTCCTTTCCCCTCATGGTGTTATGTGTTATTGTTACTCACTGTTTTCACCACTCCGTTACACCCCCCAGTCTTGACCCTCCCTCCCTTATTATGTATTATCCCTTTCTCCTTCGCTGGCGGCTATTTTTTTCTCCAATTGCCCCTCCCACCATGAGTTGAGACCATCCACGCCATCACGATGCCGCACGATGCCGCCGCCAATGGCCGATTTTCGAAGGGCATCCCGCACCGTAACAGCAAACAACGTGTTCTTATTTAGGAAGCGTGGCTGGATAGAAATTCTCGTTTCGCCATGTCAGGGTCCGATATCGTCAGATGTCCACAACTCACGAGTATCAGTTAGGAAATCTCACAACTAGACGTGCATCTTTACTCTGGGGAACGTTCCACGTCCCACTTTGTTCTTTTACGCAACAGAATCCTACCACCACAATCACAGTCGTAGTAAATATGGGCTCTTGAGCTACCGGCAGAAGATCACGAACAGAGCATTCAAGCCCAGATGCGGGGAGAAGCAAATTTCGAGATAACACGGGGAAGCTCAGGCCGCTCTGCAGAAGTGGAACAGCCCATCCTCATGCAGAATTTTGAAGCTACTGTAGCTAACAGAAACTGGAGATGGTGCTAGTCTCCGAAGCGATCTTCTCACCGTCTCCGAGCTGGCTTCGTGTCAGTTGGTTGGCTAACGGCCCTTGCATGCCTTCTCCTTTCGGCCAGGCACAAACTGTCTTGTTGATCTGAAGGTGGTGATCGTCGTTGAGACGCCAAAACACCAAGATTCAACCTCACGATAGTTGAACCAACTTCAACTTCTGTTCCCACAGCTATCGCCATACACCATTTGTGTGTTTTCAACCCTCGTTTCAACCCTTTTCCTTCTCCTGGTTGCCTTTTTCGCCCCCATCTTGGAGTCGGTGAGTCAAACCTTGACTCGACTCACACCTATCTCCCCTTTTTTTTTCATCATTCCCCTCCAGCCTCTTCGTCTTGAATATCCACCTTTCACTCAACCGGTCTCAATTCCGATATTGACACTTTCTTCTCTCTTCACGATAGCTACACCTAGCGATATTGCACTCAAGCTCAGCAGACCTGAAAAATTCTCTTCTTCCTTTGACCCACCGTTAAACCCACCTGGGCTTGTGTTAATTAGGAAGCCAAGAGCCAACTCATTCAGCACAGGTCACTCTCGGTATGAGTGGCTTCACCTTGATCGCGATCCACTCTCCACGTTTCTATCGCGACTTGACATTGCCGCGCTCAGGGCAAGAGATTGTGAGCCACTCGTGGAGGCACACGCAAGCTCAGACGTAGATGGTTTCTTGTCCTGCATCATATATACCGAGGAAGCACCTTACACTCCACTGCCACTGCTCCATATGGTGATATTATATGGCAAATGGTTTCTTTTCCATTCTCCATCTCTGACTCTTATGCTCATTCCATCAACCCGTAGACCCCCCTGATCTTTCCACTTTCCGGATACCGGAAACACATTCACAACAAACAGCCCCATGTCGTCCGCACTAATGAGGCTCTAACTCATTCCATCTGGTGATGCGTCGCTCACCCGCGGTCCACCTACTATGGATATAGCCGCCGTGCATGTAGATGCCCTAGCCCTGGGCTTTTTGCTCGACAAGTACCGTTTTAGGGGTCCAAGGACCATCCCGGGGCTTGTGCTCTGCCGTATCATTGGCTTGTAGAAGATCTGATGGTGGGTGTCCGGTTGCCGAGCAAAAGGCTTATTTCGTTGATCTGATAACATTAATCAGCGGTGGTGCTTAGTGAAATTGCGGCTCAGTTATCGATGTCCATTAGTGATTCTTTTCAGTGATAGATTGAGAGCTTGTGGGGTTGTCTTTGATCTGGTCCGCTTGGTGAGGTTCTCACCAGTTCATGTTTCAGTGGCGGCACATGGTAGAAAGGAAACAAGGATTTCTTCAACATTAACCCACTCACCGCATATTACGGGATACTGCGAGAATATTCGATAATCAAGGGAACTGTTCGTGATGGTCACTGTTGAGTCTCAGCCATTTATCTTCATTAGCAATGATTCCAAAGAATAAAGAGCTATTACTACACTAAACAGGAGCATTCTCTCGAGCCTATTCAGAGCACCAACCAACAATACTCCTGCAGTAATATCACAGTGCTGTTCTACTACTAGACCAGTTGCAATTGCTGATACAGAGTCGTCAATACACATACGATTGCCATTGACATGTAGATAAACATTTAATATTTGACACTTTTGGGTGGAAATGGAGCACCGATACGCGTGCTAAGCAGACCCTTCCAATTAGCAATGTAAAGCGAATTGCCCAGTATTATCGGCACCGACAAGCCAACTAGTAGAATTTAAGAGATCTCAGGGAGTGAACGGAATAATGATTGAAAAGAGCAGCCTAGAGAAGAACCTCCTTGTTTATCCTGAATTTCAATCTTTTGTGAGACATACCCTGAGGTGAAAATTCGCTGAAGAATATCTCCGAACAGTATGAAGTCAGCGGACTTGATTTATGACAAAGGAACAAGAACCAAAATTTGCCTTAGATTTATCGTTAAGATGCAGGTATCACACAGAACATAAGATGTGAGGCCATAATTTTCTTGTTATAGGCTTTGAAGTTCCTAGACCTGGACTCAAGCCTCGACTGTATAGATTTATCATAAAAAATTGATTTCCCGGACTCTCAAACCACCAGGAGGAGATCAAATCAGCTTGGACTATTCTCAGGCACACTCATTCCGAGTGAGAAAGACATTTATCAAAACGATGCATGACAAACCCATGATATCTCAAACTCATATCTATACCCGCCTCATCTAATACACCGCTCTCATCACATACATCCACTCACATATACTCTAGTCATGCCACGAAATATACAACATAATGCCAGCGCCAATAGCCACGGCAGAGAACTGAACAAGCATATTCTTAAGCTCCTTAGCCTTGTTAGGACCAGTCTCAAGAAGCTCAGGGATGACGGCAACGGTTCCAACGTAGAGGAATGTACCGGCAGTGAAGGGAAGAAGCATATCACCCCATGTCTACAACAAATCAGCAAATTATTCCGGGGTGTGAGTGTTTGTATAACTTACCAGGCTAGTTCCCCAGATACCCTCGTTACGGCCCATGGGGACGTCGCTGCTAGGGCTACCGAACTCCTGAATAGCAATACCAATGAGCGTACCGAGGAGAGCACCCAAGGCAGTGATAAATTGCGAGCCCATAGCAGCTCGCTTAGAAAAGCCGGACTGGATGAGAAGAGCGAAATCGCCAACCTCGTGTGGGATCTCGTGGAAGAAGACTGCTACGGTAGTGGTAGCTCCGATGGTAGGAGAGGCATAGAAACTGGCAGACATGGCCAAGCCGTCGGTGATGTTGTGTGTAAAGTCGGCACTGTAAGTGTTAGTACAGTTTCAAAAGATCAAAGCCGTGAAAGCAACATACATAAGGTTCAAGTAGCCGCCCAGCTTGACGCTGGGGTTGACTTCCTTCTCAGGCTTCTCAACAGCATTGGCGACAACAGCACCCTTGTCCTCATTACCCTTCTTGCGAGATTTGACAAGACTATCCGTAGCATCAACGCCGGAAGAAACTGCCTTATCCTCACCGTGAGAATGAGTGTGCGCATCACCATGTCCGTGGGAGTGATCATGACCAGCTCCACCCGTAGCAATTCGTAGGCCCTTATCCATAGCGACGAATGTCATAAAGCCCACCAAGATACCCAATCCAAGCACAAGGTTACGATTAGGCTCGACAAGTACGAACTTGACAGCCTCATCATGGTCCTCACCAACGAAAATCTCGGGGAGAAGGTGGAAAAGAGTGTCCCCGAGAAGACCACCCACAGCAAAAGCAACCATGACGGAAAGAGAAGCAGGATCAATGTTGGTCGGGCAGAGGGCGAGAAGGAAGTTTGGCGGGCCAGAGATGTAGAGGGTCGCAAGGAGGGCGTTTACGGCGGGTGAACCAGGAAAGAGAACGGCGAAGAGGCGCGAGGTTATCGACGAGGGGGCAGCAGCATGGTGTGCGTGCTTTGCGGCATTGAGTTGCTCGACAATTGGGCAGGTCTGGAGGATCGAGTCAGCACAGGACGTTTCGAGGGAGAGTTAAACCTGGTGTACCTGGAGTTTGGTGTCGAGCTCCTCGAGGCTCATGTTGTCAATATTGACATTTTTCACAGCCTCAACATGTTCGTGATCATGGCCCGCGTATGCAAGGCCGACAAGAAGTGCAAGGCAGACAGCCGAGCAAACAACGCTCCTACGAGTGAGCGCCATGTCTATATCTGTCCTTAACAAAGACAGCTTATTTGTGTAAAAAGTAAAGAGAAAGACAACAAAAAAACAAGACAAAGGAACGAACGACTGGCCCTGTTCAAGAAGAATAAAACCGGGAGCAAGAGGTCAAAAAGAATAACTCAACTTGACTTGTATTGCTTCAAATCAAGTCCAAGTCAAAGTTGAAGTTGAAGCTGGGGATGAAATGGGGATATTCCTACCTAGACTAGAGGCAGATCGGATAAGCCAGGGGGAGGGGCTGGATGCCAATCTGAGTCGGCCAATGAGCATGTTGCGCGCCCGGCTGAAGGCTGAAGTATCCACTCCATGCAGGGGAGCTCCAGAGCTATTGACGCCCTCATCAAGAAACCCAAACGAAACCTGATAACCATATCAACATAAACTTAGGATGATATTATCTAAATTGAGACTCAATAAACCCAATATTAGGAAACCCCTTCTAAGTTTTGATCATATTTCCTAAAATGATCCTAAGATTATCTTCGTTCGTTCGTTCGTCCGTTCGTGTTGGTCACGCGAGCAGAGATATAAGTCCAACTCTGTACCTACGGAAAATGAAATTGATGTATCTTCCTACTTGGCTGCGCAAGTGTAAGGGAGGGAGGGGGAGGGTTCACAGCCTTGATGGATCTTGTTTTAGTGGTTTTGGTAGAATTGTAGAAAGACCTAGACACCCCTATCCGATTTGTATTGCCTCAACCTCCTTAGAGACGCTATCTGCCAACTTCTCATCGGCCTTCTTCTTCTTATTGTTTTTCTTGTTTTTCCTTTTTCTCGGCCCGTCCAGTTGCCTATATGCCTAAGTTAGTAAGTTATTTAATCGAGATATATGGATAGTAAACTTACGATGCGAAACGTGCATCCGGTTGGGGCCATCTGCCCCCCACCACCCTGGATAGTGATTGTACCAGCTAAGATTAGTTAGTATGCATAACTTGCATAACTCATAGATGGGATAAATACTTACGAACAAGACGGCATGTGTCAACCGTATGGTTGGCCTTTTTGCAGTATGAGCAGAACAGTCGAGACCTCTTCTTCTTGGTGGCTGGGACTGCAGCCTTCGCACAGGGTTTGAGGGATGTCTTTAGGAAGCCAAGAGTCAATAAAGGATAAAGGGATGAAAGTGCCAAAAATCGCGAGCGCTTGGCCGGCCATCTGGTGTGCAGTGACGGCCACTGACAAGAAGGGAGGTGCGACATACGGCTGTAGCAACTCGGATGAGGGAACATGGAAGTGCAGCGTACAAAAGAGGTAGGGCGAATGAAGGATTGGTTGACTTACGGTTGTTTTGTTGACGATGATAATGATGATGATGATGATGATGATGATGGCTGAAGAAGAAAAGAGAAAAGAAGTCGTCACTTGTAGTTGTTGTTGCTGAGAATGAAGAACCTACCTAAGGGAAGGAATACCTTTGGTCGCCAACTTGCGGTTACCGTTGGTGTCAATGAAGAAGGAAAGAACACTCTCTGTCAATTAGGTACCTACCTACTTGATAAGTTCATCAATCCACAGGAAGTGATAAACTGGATTCAGCTGGGCTTTTATCTGATCTGCTTCGCGTGACCAATATAAATAAATAAAAATAACATACTTTAGAACTATTTTAGGAACTATTTTATATTTTAGAGCACGCTTTCCTAATATTTTATTTATCAAGTCTTAATTTAGATAATATTATCCTAAAGCATATGATGATATGGTCATCAGGTCTCACGTTGGATCTCTTTGTGAGGGCGGGAACGAGCTCTCTCGGCCAATTGCTGTCACAGTCTGGAGTGCCCTGGATTGACTTTTTCATCACCTATCCTAGAAGATATAAAGGTACAAAGTATTATAAAGTCGTGTCCCTGTCCTGAATAGCTGCTCTTCTCTATCACAGACAGGTATGTTATATTGCTATCTTTTCTGTAAAGATGTCGGGGATCATTGGCTCGTGAACTCCATTGGACGAAGCTCTGCTCCCATAACCTTTTCTCGCTGTCAACTGACTCATCGAATGCCATAAGCGACCGATGCCTCAAAATTGTAGAACTCATATTATTCAATTCTCATCGTATACACATGTCGACTCATTGGTAAATCATGTGCTCATATGCATGTACTCAGGTGCGCCTTGTTTTGAAGTCCTGCCCCAATTCCCATTACCAATTCCGAATCTATATCCGAGAAATCATAACTTAATCATAAAACTCCCGCTTACAACAGAGCAGCGGCAAGAATGAATGCTACAGCAGCAGCACCCATTGAGTTGAGCTGCTGAGCGCCGCTGCCAGGCAGAGGGGTTGTGGCGGAACCACCGTTGCCGGAGGTAGAAGAGGGAGTGGGCACAAGAGAAGTGGCAGTGCCAGACACGACAGGCACAGTTCCGTTGGTATAGTTACCAGTTGCGAAAGAAGGGCTGACGAAGCGGTGCTCAACGTTGCCGGACGCATCATTACTGCGGCTGACCAGAGTTCCCTTCTTGCTCTTCTCATCACAGCTGAGGTCGTAAAGGGGCTTCTCGGTCAACTCGGAGCCAATGACGCCAAAGCTGGGGTTGGGAGTCTGGGGAGCAGAATCCTGGAGTGTGTACCACCAGACATTGATATCTCCAAACATAGGACAACCGACATCCTCGTAGAACGTGCGAGCATTCTTGGTAGAGGGAACAGCCTTGCCATATGTCTTGCCGCTGACGGGCCATCCGGTCTCAGTGACCCAGATCTCCTTTCCCTTAGCAACAGCCTTGACTTCATTCCAGGCAGCCTTGAAGAGGTTTGCACCCTCTGAGATGGGGTTGTTCTTGGTATCTTCGAAGTAAGGATAAGCGTCCATGCCAAGCCAGTCACAGGCCTCAATGACGGCATTGTTGGAAGCATTGGCGTATGCGGTCCATGTATCGACATGACCGATAGGGACAGACTCAAGGCAAGTGCCTTTGATAGCAGCACGAGTTTGCTTGATATAGTCGACGAGGTTGTCAGGGTTGGTACCCGGGTTCTCATTGGCCTTGATACCAGTAGGAGAAATACGGTAGAGATCCTCACTGCCAACAGAAATACCAGCGACAAGGTCGTCAAGCTGTCCACAGTATTGGTCGACAGTGTTCTTAAGAGCGGCGATCTCGTTGGCAAAGCCGTCACCAGAGGCCCAGAGACCAAATAGCAGACTGGTCTTGGTCTTGATGGCAGCGGGAATAGCAGAGATGGGTTGGTTGGTTGAGCCACCCTGGATCATGGTGTAGAGGCGAGCACTGGTGAAGGCGCCACCGGTGCCCTCGAGACCAGCGGCGGTCTTGAACTCGTTCTCAAAGTCGGACTGAGCCTTCACTGTTCCGTCTGTGAACGTCGAGCCGTAGTTGAAACCTTGAAATGCAGCGCTGGCCGAGCCTGCGAGGGCCATTGTGAGGAGACTGTTGATGGAAGGCATTGTGACTGATAGGATGATAATAGTGTAACGCAAATACAAGAAACTCTGGACTGCAGTAACGAGAGTATGTCCTTAGGAAAAAGAGAAAGGACCGAGAAAGAAATATAGAAGATGAAGAGGAAAGAGAAGAGAGACGGAAATGAGATTGTCTTAAGAAGGTGAACCACAACTAGATCGAAGACACGTCGAAGATGAATAATTCTACGTACTCATGCAGGTACACGCAGACACGCACGCATCCGAGCCAATTCGAGGCCCGATCGAGGCAGACTCTTCACTCGACTTGCATAGTGACTCCAAGAATACAAGGTCACTTACGAACCCACACAGCAAACCAGTGGCAACATAGGTCCATCTGAAGTCACTCCGTCGGCCCGTCAGTTGTTGAGGTTCCCTCATCAGTTTCCCGATCAGTCGTCGATAAAAAGTCTAACACGCCACTCGCGGGATAAAAGAAAGATCGAGGACGTGTCACTCCCATACACTGTGTTCATGGTGAACTCATAGCGTGAAATACGTGGTCAAGCATCGAGGCAGCCAGTGTGAGGAAGTCTGTGTCAGTGTGGATTCGGCTTCGTAGGCTTTCGATCGAAGTACGCCATGAAAAGTCAATTCGGGCCAAGGATGCGCATTTTGCCGGTAGCCGTTGGCCGTTGGTAACGACAAGAGAAACGGCCAGAAGGAATTTCGATGCGATTAGTTACAGGAATGACTTTTAAAATTCGGAATGGAAACAACCCCAGAGAGTGGTGATGAGACAACCCAAAATAGCAACCATGTCAGTTACCCCGGGAAGAAGATTCCGGGGAGCATAACAGTGTCTTGGCTTTGGCTAAGATCTTGACAGCGGCTCCTGAAACATGACCACCCAATTTCTAAGCTTCAATATCGATTCAAGCAGGGATACCGATGGTAGTATCACAGCGCAAGTCTCCAGCATTGCAAAGTGACTTGGATCAAGAATAAGCTTCATTTTCTTAACTCGTCTTTGAGCAGTAAAGTTCGAGGCTTGAAAATATGGCTGAAAATCGACCGTTGAGCACTACTCTAAGTGGTGGAAGAAGAGCCAGAAGCAAACGAGTCATTTATCTGCTTCAATAGAGATAATATATGTCCCTCGGGGAGCAAGAAAACACAGGACCTTTATATAGGGTGCCAAAATAAACTCAGTAAAGGATATCCTAAACTTAATATAGATTATCTAAATTTATCTAAAGATTACCTAAATCTTTTTGTCATTTAGGATCAAGATCTTAAATTTTCTTTCCTCCCCTAGACGTCTCCAACCTTTGTTAAAGTTGTGCGACATTTTTCCCATCTTTATTTAGGCCCTGTACTCGTCATACGTGGGTCGTTGGCAACGTGGATCATCAATAGTTGACGACGCATTCTTGGGTCAGGGAACTCATTCGATGGTAGGACTCTGAGTTCAGCGCCTGGAAAAACGAGTGTAGCGCTGTAGCTTGGTTAAGTAAGCCCGTGAGAATATGTTCCTATAGAGGGATCGCCTGTGTAAGGTAGTCGAGCTTACAATGCTCAGCTTAGAGCCTCGAGGTCGAAGCAATTGGGATCATGGTTGCCTTTGGCCCAATGTTCAGTATGACAAAGAAAGACTCGATCATTCCGACAGTCATTGACATATCCGTACAAGTCTGAGTAACAACTAGTTCATGCCTGCTCACAGTGCTACATACACTACGTGTCTATCGTTACTCAACGCCAGCCACTTCATCACAAATCAATATCATAACCACAACCACTCTTAGAGAATCGCAAAAATTGACAAAAAGAAACATCCGGAGGGCGTTGGGATTGCTCCCGCCAGGGCTTGAACCTGAGACCTTCGCATTACCGAACACTCGGATTGAAGTATTAGTACGACGCTCTAACCAACTGAGCTACGGAAGCCGACCGGATGGATGAGCGGATGACCCGCTCTTGGATGCTGAGTGGACGAGGATACTCAGAATAACAAGGTTGGGAGACTACGGTCGAAGGACAATCTCTCAGCATCATCGGCACTTGTCGCTAGAACAGAAGACACGAAGCAGGTCTGAGCAGACTGATGGCCATTGAGTTGTTGATTCATCAGAGTCTTTCACTCTTGCAAGCATCAAAGAAGCGAGGCAGTGAATCACGTCTCGACCCGGCCATCGGCAAGCCTCACCCGCTTTCGCTACGCACAACTTTAATGAAGATATTCAGGGTCCATATCCATCTTGGATTGAGTCAACTGACCCATACGGTCCACCATCAACAGGACATCAAATACGAGAAAGAGGCCTCTTTCACGAAATAAAGAACAAACATAGAAACGATGATTAAGCAGGCCCAATTCTTAACCCCTGCTCCCTTTTGTTTCACACGCGTCCACTGCCCATTGATCAAGTGGCTGACGTCCATCCCAGCACCGACCCCTGCACAACCGGTTTTCCCAGCCATTCTTGATGCAACCCTCAAAGAATCCCCAGCCAAGAAAAGAAACAAAAGAAGCAGCCCAACCAGTGACGCAAGCGCTCAATGTATGATTGGTCTGTTTCGGATTTGGCCGTTGTTTGGGGCCATGATTTGCACGGCGATGCGCTCATGAACACGGCCTTGAGCTTGTTCTGAATCTCTGGCGTTTGTGCTCCTTTTAGCTTGGCTTGGTAGACTCTTCTGAAGCTCTGTGCGCGAATCATCCTTGGTTATGCGCTGTCGGTGTTTGCATCATTGATGGACAGGGTCTCGGTACTAGCGAAGTATTTATTTCACTACACCACCCGCAATGTCAACACGAATTCCCCGGTGTCTACTAGACATTCCTTTGAATTGTTGATTTTCGTATTTCTACAACTTGAAGACACTCCGCTTTCGCAGTATCATACGCCTTAACCATGTTGTCGAGGTTCTTCGTCCTCTTGCCCCTGGTGTTGTCCATGGTGGCCTTTATCCTCTCAATGCTCTGCCTTTTTGCTGGTCACAAGGAAGGGTTTATGGAAGAATACTCCGTTGCACGGGTAGGTCTGAAGCAACTTGTCAAAAACTCAGGCTGACAGTTTAGCTCAACACTTCAATGATTGGCCATAACGTTCTCGACACTGACAGCGACGCTTCTTCTAATGACAACGATGAAGATGATGGCTTCTTTGGCAAGGTCACCGACAAGTGGAACGAAGTCAAGGACGATGTTAAGGGAAAGATCAACGACATCACTGGCGACGTTGCAGACAAGCTGGCCGACACTATTGGTATTTCGGAGTGGTACTCCATTCATGTCATGGCCACATGTGATGGACAGTACAAGCCCAATGCCACGAGCCCTGGTGCTGGATATAACGTCACAAACTGCACCAACTCTGCCCCCGAGAGTGAGTAGAACCCTATCCTCGAATCACAATGAATGCTAATCTTGTAGAACGCTTCAACCTCACCGAGATGCTCGACAAGCAGCTCGAAGTCGGTCCTTTCCAGCTGAATCTTGCTGACATCAACTGGCCCGATGACATCCAAGATTCTATCGATCTTCTCAACACCGCTCTCCTTGTCACTTTCGTCTTCTACGTCCTCGCAGTGGGATTCTCGGGCCTGGCCATGGTCGCGAGCGCCGGCGCATTCTTCCTCTTCGCTCGGCGCGGCGTCAACGCCGTCAACGTCATTCTTTCGGGTCTCGCCGCACTCGTGCTCCTCATCGCCAGCATTCTCGTCACTGTGGCTGGAAAGAAGGGTGTAAACAAGATCAACGACGTCGGCGATGATGTTGGACTGTCGGCGTCTGTAGGAAATAAGTTCCTGGCGCTGACTTGGGCCGCTGCTGCTCTCATGATTATCGCAGCTATTTACTGGGTCATGCACTTGTGTCTTATGCGACGTGAGAGGAAGAGACAGTGGAAGCCACGAAAGGGAAGCTATTAGATTCGATGAGACATGACTAGACTGATGATTGGCTTTTGTTAACCAGAGTGGGCGCGACTATGATACCAAAGTGTTTTTACTTTCCTTTTGCAGTTTCAAAACGATTCCCTCCTTGGACTTTTATATACAGACCAGAAGATTGGCACATCTATATAGTCAGACAGTAATTCGATAGCTGGCCTATCTAATCTCTAGCCCTGCTGGTATAGCTATTTCGAGGCCCCCCCAATTGATTGTTATTTTCTCGAACATACTCGCATATGCGGATAGATTATTGATTTATCTGTATGGTGGTAATTGGTGTAAGACGGTGAGTTACCCTGTAAGTGCGGTTGAGTGCACATGACGTCACAAGCATCAACCAACAACCGCGTGTAGCGCGTGTCACTTCGGCACCCGGTCCTTGATTCAAGCTTCCACAGCCAAGTCCTTATAGCATTGGTGGCATTCTGGCTATCTAAACACAAACCACACTTGATCATTTAACTCCTCGCCCATGTCCTGGCTGTCTGGCCTTTGGAGAACATCACGTCCAAACTATCGCGTCATGCCTGGTAGATCTCACGACGAGGAGTCTGGCTCGGGGGAGTCAGAGTCACTGCTTGGTCGAGGCCACAAGAGAGTTAAGCGCTTCTGGGAAGGCTTCGTCGACTTTGCGTTTCAAGATGATATCCTCAAGATTGCCGTTGGTTTGATGTATGGAGTCTCCTGGATCTGCGGTGAAGGCGACTAACACGCTGGATAGTCTTGCGGCCGCTTTCACAGATTTAGTAAAGTCTTTCGTGAGCGATGTATTGATGCCCCCTATCTCGATTCTCCTCCCACTCAACAGAAACATGGAGGAGAAATTTGCCGTTCTGCAAAAAGGACCAAACTACAATAAGACAACCGGCTACAACACCCTTCATCAGGCGCAAGAGGACGGTGCCGTTGTCCTAGCATATGGGTAGGCATTATCCAAGTCTTTAGGATATCCAAACTCACAGCTGGTAGATCTTTTGTTGGCCAAATGATATCCTTTCTCGTGCTGGGCATCGCTCTCTATGGACTCGCGCACTTGTGGCAACTTGCTTCATCCGAACCCATCATCAAGCACACAAAGAAGTGCAAGTACTGCAGACAGCGCATCAACGAGAAGGTGAGACGCTCGAACCTCAAGATGGGCTTGCGACTAACACTATCCAGTCTATTCGCTGCATCCAGTGTACCAGCTGGCTCGATGGACGAGAGGACCGCAACTGAGTTGACCATGAACATCTCGTACGCATACGTGATACCCTTTGCTTCTTGTCTTTCTGCATCGCCGTGTTGTTCACAGATTGCTCATTCTTTAGCGAGATGTTGTGCATAATGATTTCTTTATCATGGCGGTTATTGGTAGACTCGGTCTTATTGCTACTATTTGGAAGTATTGCCTTTATAGCACAACTACCAAGAGGCTCATACTACGTTCAAGCTGATCCACCGTGACTCAATGAGTGCCATCTTCAGTATCCATTGTCCAATACGTGACATGCGTGGCTGGCTGCAAGGATAGAGCTATTGTTAATAGTGTTATAGTGTGGCGCTGATTGCCGAAACCTTACTTCATCGATCGATTGTCACTAGATTGACGTTGCATGTCATTCATAATTTGGCCCCGAACTAACAAATGTTTAATTAGGCATCATTACTACAAAACGCTTGTCCAAACCACATGCTCACATCTACAGCAACATAGCAGCACCACCAACAACAGCAGCCGCAGCCAGAATAGCATTCTGGGTAATCATAGGACCAGCGGCATTGTCGGAGCTCACGGGAGTAGCAGCAGCATCAGAAGAAGCAGTAGTAGCGTCGGCGGTATCAGTGGCCTCGGCTCCAGTGTCCTTGGGCTTGTCGGCAGAAGTAGCCTCAGAGCCAGCGGCCTCGGTAGCGGAAGCGTCGTCCTTACCGTTAAGCTTGTTGACGCCAGCGGTGACAGTAATGGGCATGAGAAGCGACTTGTAGCCACTCACACTATCAGTCATGGATGTGACATCGGTGATACCAGAGAGGACTGCAACTTGGTGGACGGAACAGGTAGCGACATCCTTCTTGGGGTCCAGGACGCAACCCATGTTTTGCTTACTAGTGATTTATTAGGCATTGAAGTCATGAAACTCGTGAATAGGCAACTTACATTTCACCACCATCGAATCCATCAACATCAGGATGCATGGTGTAAGAGTACTCAATGGTAGATGGGCCACCAACAATGGTGCTGGTGCTGGCAAGGCCGCAGTTTGTCGCCTTCGCATCAGGACAGTGAATAGCAAGAGTAGTCGCGCCACCCTTCACGGCAACAACAGAGCCCTCAAGAGGCTGAGGATCGAACATGGGGAGGAGGAATTCAACGGTTGTAGTCTGGGCCGCAACAGTGGCGAGAGCACCAGCGAGAAGAGCAAGAGATCGAGCCATTGTGAGTGTTGTTAAAGAGTGACTGTGCAGCAAATAAACGAATGAATGAATGTATTGGGTTGGATGCTGAACGAACGACGGCCGACTGAAGAAAACGACGAAGCAAGCGAGGCTTTAAGAAAAAAGAGACTCCCCTATTTAACTAAAGTTAGTTTCCAAAGTGTCAGAGACTCACCGGTTCCTTTGATTGATTGAATCCTTCGGCGGCCGCTTAACGACAACGCTATGCTCGAATTAAACACTCCGATACCTTATTACGGACTTAGACAGGAGATTAAAACGGCCCTGGTTCCGAGTATCCGCCTTGGTACCACCCACCCGGGCCTCGTAGGGCGGGAGAAAATTGGAGAAGATGCGCGGGTGATGTTCAATAGAGGAAAGTTAAATAGATTGAAGTCAATGACTATGTCAGGGACATCCAGGTGAGATACTGTGGGGGGAAGCTTACTTTCGTATTTGGCGTTGAAATGGCGTCTGTCATTGACAAAGCCGATGGGGCTATTGATCCTTCTGGTGAAGCATTGATTGGATCGAGTTAGTTTTACGGGGGTGGCGCCTGTTAGACCACTGTTAGATCCTAGCTCTTGATTCCCTGAACGAGACCCATGATGTTGATAAGAGTCAAGCTTTGGAGAGCAAGAAAACATCAGATATTGATATAAGGTATTAAAATAAACTCAGTAAAGGTTATCTTAAATTAAAAAAAAAAAGTATACTAAATTTTTATTAATTTATCTAAATCTTTTCATCATTTAGGATCAAGATCTCGAGTTTTCTTTCATCCCCTGGCCAAGGAACATGCGAGGTGCTGTTAGAGCCTCTCGCTAAGAGTCATCCTTGTGAGGCTGCCTAACATTTTCTTCAGATCAAATCGCGTCTTCAAATTACTAACAGGTCATTTTCAAAGTTATGATCTTTGAGGTGTTACCTGAAGTTCTGACTGTTTTTCTGAGAGGACCGGTAACTCCCCAGCCTCTGGGTGACATATCTGTGAACATTCTTTGTCGATGTAAATAAGACTCTCCTACCATCCAAGTATCCTGATATCGAAGCTTCCGTAGAGATGTTTCACGCAAAGAGCATTGTGAAGATACCATTGAGGCGATGGGCCTGTTTGGGTCCATAGGGCACCAGAGTGCCACTGTAGCGGTATAGAGTCGAAATTTGATAGATCAAACACGAAGGTATATTTACTTGGTCCTTGGAATGGATCGTTTGGGTCTATGGGAGAGGATGCATTGCGCTTAGCGAGACGCAGTGCACTATATGACATGAAACAGATATGGATTCAGAACCATTGGTATCGGGATGTGAATCTGGTAGCTGTATAGAAGGTAACGAACCAAACGAACAAGCTACTCCAAGGTATTTGCATGTAGAAAAAGGAATAAATACAAAGCTCAGTGTTTTGAGAGGGACATAATCGATATTTAAGATAGTACCAGAAGCTGATATATGTGAATGCTATCCCTTCCGTTCTCAACTCAAGACAATGTGAACTTACTGTCACTAGAACGCAACGTAGACGTGCCCAAATAATGTCTGCAAAAACTAATGATACTACGATAATGAAATCCTACGTAAAGCTTTGGGATTCTTTTTGTCCACGTTGATACATTGTCCCGATAAAGAACAAACTGTAAGTCATCAACCTTCCACTCGACAAGAAGGAGAGTGGGATCAATGAGAAGACGAAGTGTGAAGGTCTCTCTAAACGTATCAAGTTCAGGTATACTTTTACTGAAGCTTTTAGTTAGACGTGAGCTCTGCATTTAGTATTAAGCAATCATGTTGTGACAGTCGAGTTGTTGATCACCACTTTGCCCTACTCCCACCAGGCCATCTTCAAGCGACCGAATGAGTGTTCCTTCAGGATATTTCCGAATAGACCTTCAGATCTCAATAGACGTATTCTACAACAGTGCTCTCAGTGAAAACATCGATCTTAAGGGATGGTCTTCGACTCCAAGGTTCGACCTATCCGCGACCGTGAGTCTCAAGAGTGGCCAGCCGCCATTTACAACGGTCAGTTATTCTCACGCACCCTCTCTTATAACGCCTTAATCCCACTATGATTATAAGAGGCATGTACTTCAGCCCTGAGCGTGACCTCGTCGAGCAAGCTATCAAGATATCCCAGCGCTAAGTTGAGGGTCAAGTGAACTTTGTCGTTTATAAGCTTTGTTAATCGTTGGACGTTCCAGCGAAACCTCTAACCTCTACTCTGCCGGTGAGAGCAGCATGGATACTCTGTACATAGACTAGACTTCTCAATACACATCTGTCTTCATTGCGATCTAGGCTATCCGTCTCGAGAACTACGGTGCCAGGAGGATCAAGGACGACAAGCCCCTTGCCGGTGTCTAAATGCATCATGGCATGACGGCTTGGACAGAGGTTGCCATACTTGGGCGGCGCAAACCTGTACGGCTCAATGCCCGCCGCAAGTAGTTCATGCTCGCGTTTATAAGAAGAAGAAGAAAAACTAAATTATTGATGCTATCCTAACTCGTCACAAATATTTATTATACTTAGAATGAAATAGAAACAACTCGGTCACTTGGTAAGACAGGACTCCTCGCCGCGCGATAGATTGTAAACCTGTCCTCGGCCGTTTCCATACTTTATTCCTGGAAAGTTGAGCTTCAACCTCGATCGCGGCGATTGTTGCATGGAGACTTGGCAGATATCCATGCTGTCAGGCGGCTTTTTTCCCCAGCTGAGTTTTGGGTTATCAATCACAAACTTGATATTGGTTATCCCCGATAGATACTAGAAAATGATCTTGATGTTGCACCTATATACGTAGCATTACATGAAAGGTTGAATGGAAAGGCCGCATTTGGTCGTCAATCATGTATCAATACTAGGATATAATTGAATGTTTGGTGGCCGGAACAGCAGACTTGAGGCATACAGCAGTATCGGAACTCCCGATGTGTTTTCTGGATGATTCTTGAGAATTAAACTAGATACACCTTTTGCCGTTCATATTTTCCATTGCTCGATTGTTACTGTTGTTGGATGCAACGTTCGTTTACTGGGATGTCACAAAATTGGATCCTTCTTGGCACTCAGCGTCCGTCTTGGCATCGGATTCTAGACAAAGCTCAGTCTTGGCGTGTCATGATAAATTTGTCCGTCTGACATTTCCTGCAGCCGATTTCCGCCTGAATATACCAAAGTCTATCATCGTTTCTGATTCAAATGTTTCGTTCTTTTTATATCCAACTCTTCTAACGTGCCCCTGTTTCGTCGAACATTTTACTCACACCAAAATTTCATCACCACCTGTTAGCTCACAACCTCAACCTCAACCTCAACCTCGGCCGCCCAGACCTTGGCACTCTCCGCTGATGCTTGGCTGGCCTCTGGCCCCTCCCAACCCGGTTTCTTGAGAAAAGGAGCTGTTAAAAAGGTCGTCATTTCGCGCTCGAGCAATTCTTGTCTTGACTTATCTGCGCATACCTTGACGATAACCCTTGTTCGCGCGCGCATCTTTGTAACCACAGATCTTCGCTCTGCATTTCCACAAGCTCTGATTGGCTAGACTCGCCTCTACAAACTCTTTTCATCCTTGCGCAACGAGCTAGTCAACCATGTCCCCACGCTCAAAGTCAGTTTGGCTGGCACTGTTAGCTGCGAATAGCTTCGCATATGCTAGCGAGGAACCGCCTGCTGTGACGACAGCGCCTATTTATCTGCCCTATTACGACGAAGACTCGTGGTCTCTTGTGCGCGGTAGCGTTATCTCAAGCGTGGGTTGACATTTTTTTTGCGAACTCCATCACAAGTGCTAACACACGCCAGGATGCGAAAGCTAAGGAAACAACATACACAATATTCTGTCCAGATACAGACGACTCAGACCCTCCAGAGTGTGATTTATCCCTTGAATTCCCTTTCGTTTTAGTCGAAGGGCCTGATACTGTTCGCTTCCATGGCACGCATACCTCAAGGCTGTATGTTCTCTGTGTACCTACAACGTACCAATGCTGACATGGTGCAGCACCGCAAATCTAGAGTGCAACCTACAAGGCACGACAAAGGCCACTTGTTCCGGGTACTCTAGTTTCAACGAGGGTTATAACGATGGCGTGCACACAGGTCCAACCGAAGTGACATGGACATCAACTTATTCCGGCAGCGAAGTACAATGGGGTGTCCTGACAATGGGCGAACTTCCCCATGACCCGGACCCTGTTACTGCAGTTTCGAGTACACCGACGGACTTTGTGTCCATGCCGATAGCTACAAACGGCGATAATGCTGGAGCAAGTTTGAGCGGCTCCTTCAGGGCTGCTTTACTTGCTGCATGTTGCACTTTGGTGGTTGGTTGGACTCTTTAAGAACTGGACTATTTATTGATGAGAACACGATTTATGATGGGTTTCAGGAGCAAGCGAGCAATTTTCTTTGTTAAGTTTTGATCATGTTTAATACAATATGCTCTCATATTAGCTAATATTAGTCAAAATGATAGCAAACTTGACGAACCAGAGTAATGTTGTCCTAAGACGAGCCTGAGGTCTGTTGAGTAGCGATCTAGCGACGGATTCAGGGGTGTTCGGTACCTCGAGGCGTCGGGTTTGTGATTCGATATTAACCTGTAATTGATGGTAGATGCTGGTTCATGCATACCTGGGTGTTTCCAACAGAAGTCTATTCAACAGAATGACAGCGGGTGACCATTACAGGACAGGACCGAAATATGGCAGATCATCAGAGCAAGGCTAAGGCATATAGCGGGGAACACTGTCTAATTATATAGCAAGTGGCCTCCTGCATTTGTAAAGACATTTACAGAAAACGCATCAGGTGAATTAGAGCTGCTTGTTCGGGATGTCATTATCAGGCGAGGGCCATGTTCGACTACGGAGAGTTGAGCTTCAAGTTTCAGCGGAAACGGGTGGAAATGATAAGTCAGAAATCTTCAAAGGGAAGAGAAGAGTTCTGTCCTGGCCCCGTTCTTCATGTACGGCCGGATGCTCTCACGACCGGATGGCGATCTCCACTTTTCCGGTCCGGAAATCCCGGCCGGACCGTAACGCGTGCCGAAATGGCAACATTCGCACATTGTTACAAGTACTCTTGGCACTTCAGCTTGAGTGAAGCTCATTTGTAACTTTTGGAAGAATGTCCATGAGTGGAAAGTTGTTGATGCGTTTGAACCATGTGTGCCACAGCTGGACAAGCCGACTGTGGCCAGTATCTGCATAAGCTTTTTTCAAGAAAGACCCTTGCTTCTGAAGAACAACATCAGTGAAGAAGTGACTGGAGAAGTCAGAAGACTTATTCTTAGAGAGTTCCAGCAAGCAATGCTATCGAAAACTCAGAGTGACGGTCACAACACTGTAAATGGAAAATGTGCCATTGCGATCTCAATTCTTGGAATTCCTTATTGGGTTTAAGGCTCAGAATTGTGGAGACTTCGTGCTTAAAGCTAGAGTATCCACTTTCAGCACAGACGTGCGAAAAATCCCTCAGAACAAAAAATAGTCGATCCCAATGCCATCAACGAAACAGGGCACAGTGGCCGAGTGGTTAAGGCGATAGACTTGAACGGGCCTCCAAGAGGTTCTAGACATCTATTACGTTCGCGTTCGTAGGTTCAAATCCTGCCTGTGTCGATATAGCTTCATTTTTGCGTTCCAAACGTATTCTGTTACTTGAAACTTCAGCCATGAATCTCACATTCAGTTTTGCACCTACGAAGACGCTTTTGGGATGACAAGATAGACACGAAGCAGTAGTTGGGTTCTGTCTTTTGTAAATTTGAATTACGCTGCAGAAGTGTTGAGATATCACATCTTGAACTTTCTTGGTGATCTGGTTACACAATGGACTGCATTGCTGGCTGCGTGAACGCTCGCCTCAACGAACGTTGATATACATAATGTTATTTGAATGCTTCTCACTATAGATAGATAGCTACCAAGGGTTGTCAGAGAAAATTGTTCATACAATCGATGTATTTGCGTTGGCATACATATTGCTGGTACACCACCTGAGTTGGCGTGTTAGTTTATTTCTACGATTTGGCAAATTTTAAGCGAGCTTGCTTGATACAACACAACGACTCTGTTGAAGCTCTGTTTATCATCGGAATTCCATCCATTTGCTGATGTTCTCAAATAACCAACTCAGGTGAGGTTGGCTTTGTCGACTTCCTCTTTCGGCCACATGTACGGTGTCGCTTAATTTAAGCTCAGCGGACCTTGCATTGAAGATTTGTTGGCAGAGAGGGATTTCATGCTACTTCCTTCCAATTCTCACTGCAAATTTCAAGAATAGAGTATGAGGTTTGGCTGTTCATTGTATAGCCATTCGTTATTCGTGAGCAACCGGATGCAACACAAAACCCTGAGTGTGAACACAATTTTATGATTCGATCGAATATAAAGATACGCTGTGTTGATATTGTTATTTTGTGTTTGTCATTAAACTTTCAGCGCATGCATTATTTGATGATTACGCGGCACTGGGAATGGAGGCGAAGAACGGGAAATGGCGGAGAGAAGGGATAGGACGTTTGAGAGACATGGCGACTGACCGTGTCTTGAACCGCAAAGGCGACGCGCTGTAGCGTTTAGTGTTTATATGCAGTCTCAAGAGTATGCCTTGCTCATTAACGTTTCCAGCCAACAATGGTATCATCTGAAGGAGGGAATCACCTCATGGGTGCCCAAAACTCTGCCTATCGGGCTCAATACATTTAGAATAACTTGATCTGAGTGAGAAGAGGCCGGTCCCTGGTTCTAAGACCTGGTCCAGAACTACACCAGAGGTTGTCTCACTAAGATAAGACGGTGCCACGGCAAGACAGCTAATTAGGACTGCTGACGGGCTTGCAAGGCGGCTCAAAAAGGAAGACAACATCCGGCCAAGCCCCGGTAGCTTCACAGCCATACGAAGACTGCATTTTTAGCAACCTCGAGGTTCCGAGACATAGAAAAGCGCTCTCGTCTATCAGAACTCACGAAAGGAGACAATTGGTTTGCCAGAAGACTTGGGATCCTAAACCAGGGGGCAGGAATAGATATGTACAAGAGCCCGCCAGAATTTTCCTGAGATCTTCTGAATCTACCTAGATATTTTTATCACTTAGGAATGAAGTCCTGGGCTTTCTGCGGCCACCAAGAGTGTAAGGATCTTAGATTCCGCCTGCATCTCCACATGTAAGACAAGAAGCTTGGCCTTGAGCTTCTTCCAATGTCGGAACCGACCCGAATCTCGTAAACAATGCACAGACCTAGGCCGACTTTACAGTTGCTTTTACTTCGAGTTCTCTAAGAATGCGACTCTCAAGTAATTTCCACGTGTCTGGGTTGAAAAAAGTGCCGCATGACAACACGGCAAAGTCGGAAGCGCTGCAATCAAGATCAGACGAGAGAAACGTCCGGCGTTGTTTCGTGTTTCAAGATCTCCTTTCTTGAGCATCGCGTTTCGTCAGTGAGTCAGGCTCTGAGATGATCATTTTTGCGAAAGCCCATGCAAGGGCAGGGGAAAAGAAAGGTTGCTGGGGGTGGGGGCAGTGGAGATGAGGACCGTAACGTTAATGCAGAGTTGATGGGCAAGGATATTGAGTTTGTGTTGCTTGAGTTTGGATGATGCATGGTTACGCAGCAGAGAACATCAACTCTGTACAAGAAACGGTCCTGTTTCGCCAGGTCTTCCAGAAGAGTATCAACCTTCAGTGCCTTGTGATGATCCCTAAAGTCCTCTAGTCAGGGCATGAACATTGTGGCGCCAAGCCTCTTCCTCCAACTTTTGACGCCCACCAATCCCCTCCCCAGAGGTATCTGTCAGCTAGAGTTTAGTGGCATTTACCCCTGGATCCTACAGTACCTTGCACTAGATTCATATTCCTGGGAAACAAAAACTGTGGTTTGGTGACTGACAATCCTCTACCCGCGCGGCCAGTCGAAACAGCCCGTTCTTTGTGTCTGTAACACCAACATGATTACAATGTTCTACTGGCCACAATCAACGGCTGATCGCCGAGAACAGGGCCTTCAGGGTATGTGTTCCTTGTCATGTCCGTCTGCGGGGAGAGCTCGGTAACCCATTCTCCATAGAATGTAGAGGTCATCATTCAACGGTTGACTCTGTCTGAGGCTCATCAGCTAAAGTCTTAGTCTGCGCCTGAACCCAGCATGATTCGTCATTCGTTCCTCACGATATCCTCCCTGTGTGTCTAACTCTGAAAACAGTCCGCCGAGCAAGGGTATCATGTATTAATACCTAGATTAGCCCCCGTCGTCTATCAACGTTTTGGACTAGCCCAGTCCAGCCTGAAAAGAACAAACGTCTCTGGAGCCTCAGCTTTAGCTCATTGCGTTCTCGTATTCCCGTTCCCTCTCAGCTGTGATTGTATTTTTATCTTTCGGTGGCCCCTCCTTCGTTCATTATTCCTTCTTATCTTACTTTTCATGCCCCCGAAGGCGTCCTCAACTTTCACGCCTGATTTTTCTCTCGTAGCTACCTACCTTGTGGCAGCTTGATTTGTTTGACTTGAACGCCTCGCTCTTTCTTGAATATTAAGACTCTCATTCCATATCGCTTGCCGTTACCTGCCTCGAACTTTCACTCATTATCGGATCTATGAAAACTATCAACTTACTGCCAGCACCCAAAAGACTTGCATCAATCTTCCAGGAGAAGAATATCGCTGAGCGATCATCATACTCAAATAGACACCATACACCATACCCATCATCATCAATAGACACATTATGAAGCTCCTCGCCTTGGCCAGTTTGGCTTCTGTAGCCATCGCTACCAAAACGCCTCCCAGTTCACTTGACACTGCAAATCCAGGTATGTTCTGCGGTCAAATGGTGTTCCGGCTCACTAACCATTCCAGATTCAATCCGAGATGTAGCAGGCACCCTCGCCTTCGATGCCATGAAGTACTACAGCGGCAACACATCATCAGTACCCAAAGATCTCGGCGACCTTCAAGATCCATACTACTGGTGGGTAGCTGGTGCCCTATGGGGTGTCATGCTCGACTATTACCACCTTACCGGAGATTACAGTTACAATGATGTTGTCATCCAGGCTCTTCTGGGTCCTACAAATCTCGGCGCTGGTAAGGACTACATGCCTGCAGAGCATGCCGACGAGGAGGGTAACGATGATCTCTTCTTCTGGGGCTCAGCCGTCCTCTCCGCTGCTGAGCGAAACTTCCCTCAGCCCAACAAGAACCTCCCATCATGGCTCGATATCAGCATCAACGTATTCAACGAGCTTGCGGGCCGCTGGAATACAACAGCTTGTGGCGGTGGTCTCTTGTGGCAGATCTACCCAAGTAACCCGAATGGCATGACATACAAAAACTCAGTCAGCAATGGCGGTTTCTTCCAACTCGCAGCACGTTTAGCTCGTATCACTGGCGACAACAAATATCTCGACTGGGCTCTCAAGATCTGGGACTGGTCCTGGGAAGTCGGCTTCATTGATCACCGCAATTATCACGTCTATGACGGAGCCAGTGTAGAAGACAACTGCCAGAAGACAACATACCATTCTTTTACTTATACCAGCGGTATATATCTTTACGGCGCGGCGGTTCTCGCCAACTACACCGAGAAGCCAGAATGGGTCGATCGCTCAAAGCGTCTCTTAGAGGGCACCGATTGGTTCTTTTCGCCATTTCCCAACGCGACCAATGTCATGTACGAAGCTGCTTGCGAGACTGTCAACACATGCAACGACGACATGTCCACCTTCAAGGGTTATCTAGCACGATTCATGTACCTGTCTATTCAGATGCAGCCCGCTCTGAAGGAGCATGTCCATGCTCATCTTCTCCCATCGGCCAAGGCTGCTGTCCAAACATGCACAGGAGGGAAGTCTGGCCGTGAGTGTGGTATGCGATGGTACAACTCCGGTTTTGATGGCAATCCCGGTCTCGGGCAGCAAATGTGTGCGCTTGAAGCTGTTCAGGGCCTGCTGCTCAGTGATGCTCCTGCGCCGCTCAAGGGCGATGATGTCAAGGTCGTCCGCAGCACAGACTGGGCTGCCATGGAAAAGGACGATTCCAAAATCAAGAGTACACCAACATCCTCGTCAGAGACATCATCAGCAACTGCAGCTCAGCCTACAAAGAGTGAGGATGCTGCTAGCATCCCCCGGGCCGATCTCGTTCTGGCTTCGGTCAGTATCGGAAGTGTCTTGGTGTTCTTGGGATGGGCCTAAAAAGACGTATTGGATATTCATTAGACCTTATAAACATAGAATGGAACTGGCGTCGGGTAGTTGGTTGACCGGTCTTAGAGACTACTTTGGTATAAAACGCTCATACTCTGAGTGTTGCTTTTATTAATTCCACGAGATTACGTCTAGAAGGTCTGGATTCAACGTAGAACGCCGTCGTTTTATCACCCTTTTCCTATTTAGTGCTCCAGTTTATGAGCCTCTCACCTCAGCCAACGTCGTCTTTAGTGACTCCAGAAATCTTGTCACCTCGGCGTCTGTGCCGACTGTAATTCGTAGACAACCTTGGCATCCGTGCTCTTTTCCTCTGAATCGCACAACGACACCCTTACCCTCGGCAAGCTTCTCATATACGGCCAATGCGACAGTATTATCCGGCTCGCCTGCAGGGTCAAGCATTTCATAAAGCAAAAAGTTGCTTTCAGTGCCACCTCGTAGACGACCAACACCAGGGATCTTTGGAAGTTCCTTGATAAGACGATCACGCTGCTCTAGAAGGCGCGCACGATGGTCTCGCATAATAGCGAGTCCCTTTTCGGAGACAGCGTAGGACGCAAGGGCACTTGTGGGGCTGGAGATGTTGTAAGGAGCCTTGAGGCTGTTGAGAAGTCGTGCAATAGGGGGTGATGTGAATGCAGCACCGAGTCGGATGCCAGCCATACCAAAGGCTTTGGAGAGGGTTTGCATGACGACGAGGTTAGGAAACTCGGCAACCCATTCAGCCAGAGAAGCATCTTCGGGGGCAAAGTCGATATATGCTTCGTCGAGAACGACAACGCCGTTCCATGTTGGGTGATCTAGAATCTGCTGAACGTCGGACTTGGCAAGGACTGATCCAGTGGGGTTTCCTGGCGAGCAAAGGTAGACAAGTTTGATGTTGGACTCCTTTGTCAGGGCTTCCATGACAGCTGGAACGTCTATACTGAAGGTGGGGGCTTCCAAAAGGGGAACTTTGACGAGAGCCACGTCGTTGACCTGTGCAGACACAGAATACATGCCATACGTAGGCGGGCATGTAAGGATGCGGTCCTTTCCAGGAACGCAGAAGCATCGCAGCAGAGCATCGATAGCCTCATCACTACCGACACCCACAAACAAATTCTCGGGCTTGAGCGTCTTGTCTGTGTGGGCGTGGGTGTTTCGCAGCTCGCAGAGCTGCTTCTTCAACGGCTCCTGGTGAGGATCAGGATAACGATGCAGGCCCAGCAGGTCTACCTCCACACCATTGGCAGCCTTCTCTGCGACGTCTGCACTCAGAGAAGGTCCGTACGCGTTCTCATTTGCGTCAAGAAGGATATTGGTGCCGTCATCCTTGTAGTCGCTGGAGAAAGTTAGTCGTTGCTCTAATGCGGGGGAGGGGCAACATGCTCTCGCGCGCAGCGATATGGCTGGAGGGCCAAGATGTTTGGCCTGGCACAGCTTTCGAGGTTAAAGGGGGCCATTTTGGTGGTGGTCTATCTCCTGATGGACTGGGGAGTAATGAGGATGCGTGGCTCTTTAAGATGTGGTGTTTACCACTTTTTGGTTGCTGAGTCCGACGCCGGAGGGGAGTCATTGACTTTTTTGTGGGGCTTTCATTGTTATCATGATAGAGGGGAAGCTTTGGATAGGGATACAATGCATCCCAAGGTTTGGTGTTTACTCGTAGAACCTTGATGGCAGCTGAAGAAGGTAACGGCATGCGGTACCAAAGAGTGATTGCTTTCCGATATGCAATTGAGTCATCATAGCTTGAGGTCAGGTAAATGTTGGACTCATGCATGTGCCAAAGCGTTACCCTAAAGGGCAACAAAACTTTTGAGCAGCGGTTTCGTGGTTGAAAAACCAAGAGACCAGATGATAGGGAACATGGCAGCCATATTGTCTATTCATGTTAATCCGGTGTTCATTGCACGACAGAATCTGTTTATATCTTCGTCGACCGTATACGCCAAGACGGATAGAAAAATCCATTTCAAGTAACACTCAATCGCCTTCAACATCTTCCGTGCCATGATAGTTCGCTATAGTCATAATCCTAATAGAGGGAAAACAAAGATTTAGCCACCGAGTATTAAAAATAAAGCCAAACCCTATTTCAGGATCAAGGCGTGCAGCCACAGTCAAGCCAGCAAAACGAGCAGACGTCGTCAAGTATCAATTCGACACAACTCCACAGAATTGGTGCTGAATACGACCTTTGAGTTCAAGAGCAAAGGTCGCGTGGCCCAATGGCAAGGCGTCTGACTACGAATCAGAAGATTCTGGGTTCGATCCCCAGCGTGATCATTCTTTTTGACCATACTGCTCAGTAGTATCAATCCTTACTAAGAGGACATGCTACCTTTCATGCTTGGACAGGACATAGTATCACCACACAAAACAGTACTTAGGTAGACAATGCCATTTTGATAGTAGTTATATTTACTGCAGAATGACCAGCCTCTAGTAGCCTTTTAGTGATTTGCTGTAGCCTGGTGTTTGAGTCTGAGAATGGTTTTTAGTATAAGAATGTTTGTAAATATGGAATGTTATACTTACTATACAGAAATGTCAGAATAATAAACTCTTGTACTATATGTATAAGATAATTGTTAACGATATAACTATAACATTCTTAACTTAATTAGTTTGTAGTTGTATTGCGGTTAATGATTGGCCGAGTCTTTTGTAACTCCTTTGAGCCATGATTGGCTAGACAACAAGGCTCGTTTTATGTGCTCCTGAGTCCCTCCCGTGCCACTCAGTACCGCGTTATGCATTCCGCCATCTCCGCAACGCAAGAGCACTTTATTCCTCAGCTGTTTTACACGAATCCTTGTCGCGTCATGAAAACGTTAGTTTTCATTCACTTCTGACCGTTTTATATATACATCTTCGCTTCCTGTCAGCATACAACTGTATCCCGAAAGAGAATACGTTGTTAATGCACTGGAGTCTGGCAGGATTAATGCCCATTTACAACTAATCGCTATACGACGCACGCGCCTTACAAGGTCCATAGTCATGGATTGAGCAGATGTTTCTAACTCGAAGTCCTGTGCTGATGAAACGCCAACATAAAGTGGTGTGTCTGGTCTATCACTTTCAATATGCCTCGATGTTTGATATACCGGAAAGCAAAACCTACGTAGATCAGGCCAGATTGTAGAGACTGCTTATCCACGAGACAGAATACTTTACAAGTGACGATCCTGTCAACTATGTGGTAACTTGGGAACTGCGGACTCAGAATAGTTCGACAACGGAGGCATACTACGGTAAGTTTCACCTGTACCAAAACAGCAGATATATAACGAACAACGTACGATCCCACAAGTTTAGGATCGCGCTTGAGGTGAACAAGCGCTCTCCGTCAGTGTCGTCCACAATCTTGGACGGGAATTTGGGCGCCAGGAATCATTCAAGAGCAAGGTCGCGTGGCCCAATGGCAAGGCGTCTGACTACGAATCAGAAGATTCTGGGTTCGATCCCCAGCGTGATCACTTCTTTTTGCCGGTTTAGAGTCTGCTTGGGTCTGTGAGAACATCGGCCCATGCTCGCCTGTGAAGCAAGTTCTCGGGTGTGCTACTGCTTCTGGGAAGTATGCCAGTTCAAGAGTGATACTCAGATTCTTTTAATGGCGTGCGGCTGAAAATAAGAGCAAACAAGCCTGATATCGAATTAGTCACAGGGGCGCTGGCGATGGATGATAGTTTTATAAACTCAGCCAGGCCTCATCGGTATGTGTCTCACATGGAGTTCAGCTCCTGGACCACCCTTGTCAATGGACGTTCATTGGATGTGTCTGCTACCTGAACAGTTGGAGTTTGGAGAAGGATGCAGATCGAAGAATAGACCGAGAGTGTATGAACGATACATCTGAATGTGTGAATCGGTTGTGGTGGGAAAATAGATGCACATACATGGACGAAGCTGAATTACAGGTAATGAAACGCGGTATACAAAGGGATAACACTTCGATAGCTGACGTTGAACACGTAGTGCTAACGGAACCGTAGTTAAAGTGTAACCGTGACAAAAACGGCCGTAACATTTGGACCCACACAACCACGTCTCAACTGTCCACCGTTGAGTTAACTCTAGGTTTCATTTCCAATCCTGGAACCTGAACCAACTGAACCGCGTCCATACATGTCCATATTCGTACACAAGCGACAAGCCCAGCCTCCCGATCCCACGCCATACGACCTCCTGTCACTCCTCACTTGTCACTCACCGAAGTGATAGACTGTCCGACTGATTGGACCCCATTCGTGTTCCGTCGCCAGCCAACGACAAGCCTGTTCTCGCTCACACACGCGCAATCCCAACACATCCCTCCCACTATTATACGCTGCTGTCTGCCGCTGTTCCAGCACAGCACAGCCAGTACAGCACACGCTGCCGCTTGAAGCGCTGCACTGACGCCTTAACGCCCTGAAAGCGACAGCCCAGCCCAGCCCAGGTCACAGTCACAGTCACATTCACAAACAGCCATGTACTCCGCCGGCTACGGCTTTGGCAACAATGCTGCTCCCTCTTTCAACAACCCTGCCCCACAGCAGCAGTCCGGAGCCCAGCCAGCCGCTCAGCAGATGATGTATAACCAGCAGCAGCAGTTCGCCGGCATGACGCCTCAAGGAGGCTTTAACCCTGGCGCGAATCCTCAAATGATGGGTGCTGGTCCAGGAGCCATGATGCCAAACGCAGGAATGCAGCATATGGCTGCCAATGGCCAGAGTAGGTAACATTTCTTCATTCGCGCGCAATCTCCGATCGAATCTTTCACGACGCGCCTGCTTCTAATGCTCCTGTAAACAGCTCCAGCCTCTTGAGTGATGTGTGGGCAGCTTGTGGTTAGGCATCATTAAGAAGAAGCGCAGCGCAAATCGATATGCGACACGGCAAAGCAATCCTCCTTCACACCTGACTAACACATTGCGCACAGTGGCAGGTTTCCAACAGCAGTTCGCTGGTAACCCTTACGGTCAAGTCGTTCCCTCGTCGGTCGCTCCTCAGAATTTTGCGCCAAATTATATGATGGGCGGAGGCATGCAGGGCTTCCCGATGAACCAACCCGGGATGCCCCAGAATCCTCAAATGATGCAGCGATTGCAACAGCAACAGCAAGCACAGGCTCAAGCGCAGCAGCAACAACAACAGCAGCAGCAGCAGCAACAGCAACAACAACAACAAGCTGCTAACCCCGCTGGCATGGGCCAGGTATCGACCCCTCAAAGACCCCCGAGCGCCGCACAAGGAACACCAAACAATGCTCTGCCTTCGCAGCAGGGTCAATTCCCGACTCCTCAGCCTCCCTCTCAAAGCCAGACCCCCACGAATCAGCAGTCCCAACAACCACAGTCGCAACAGCAGCAGCAGCAGACTCAACAAGCTCCGGCACAGGCGCAAGGGCCGCAGCAGCCCCAACAACCCGTATCTGCCGGATTATCGACACCCCAGACGCCAACCTTCTCGACAAATCAAGGACCGGCTGCCAATGGAACTTTAACAGCGGCTCCCCTTAGCCCCGGTACCGAATCTCGAGATAAAGAACGATTTGCATTGTTGCTCGATATCAACCACGAGCTTCTCTATGAATCTATACAAATCCAGGCAACCCAACAAGAACTGAAGAAGGAGAGCGCTGCAGCTGGAAACCCTGCCGATAAAAAACCGACAGAAGAGGAGACGCAACTACAGCAAGACTATCTCCAGTGAGTTCTTATTTGGACCATGAATTTCTTCACACAACTAACCGTGTCTCAGATGTATGAGGAGATTGCAAGCAAACTTGTCGTATATGGCCGCACTTGCAGATCGGAAGCCCGAAGTTAAAGTTCCGCCTTGTCCAGCATACCTCACTGCCCCTGCTCTGACTCTCTCGCTCAAACTCCGGGCCCCAGCTGTAGGACCTGAAGGTGCAGACAACAACATCGACCCGGTCGCTGACCGTGAAGAGCGAAACAATAGCATAAGGGACCTGTATTCGAGATTACAGGCTGTCTTCCCCGGCATTGACCCGAAGAGAGAACCAGCTTATCGTATGAATACACAAGGCGGCCAGAAGCCTGGTATGATGGGTAGCCAGGCCAGCCCGACAGCACAAAGGACGCCCAAGATCACGAATATGGGGGCACCTCCTATGCCCTAACGTTGCTGGCTCAGATGACTACTGAGTGAGATAAAGAACGTGAAGGCGTAGATATGTTGTAAGGTTTTATAGACACAGATGGAGTTCTTTTGGGTCAAGTTGACCAGTTCATCTAACGAATAGCATAACACTTTGTTCTTTTATATGGTATAAGGGCTGGCTTGGTCTTGAGAGCTCGACAGACTGGCAGATTAGAAGCAATATCGTTATAAGAATAGCGTTACTTTCGGGTTGGTTCAAAAGGAGAAGTATATATGTAGTTGGTGATTTTGCTCAGGGCGTTGAGGAGCTTGCTTCAGGAATATTAGCAATGAAAAGCCAAGAGAG